TGGCAGCTCCCGTGGGCGCTGCGGACACGGGAGAAGGAGACCTGGGATTGCCGAGAGCCCCAAGGGACCCTCGGCAGCGCGGTCCCCTCCTGGCACCGCCGGCTGCAACGTGGGCACCGAGAGCCGCCCCGCGGGCGCCCCGCTCCGCAGACCCACCATGCAGGGAGCTGTCCCAGCACAGGCTGCTTCTCAGCATCACCCGCTACCCCCGGGCCCGTCTGCGGATCCGGCCCCTTCGCCATGCGCTTTGGGGAGCCTGTTTCATAGGAACTGCAGAGAGAGAGAGAAAAGGAGGAAACGTATAGAACAAACCCAGATATAACACTAAGGTGATACTAGACCATACGAACATAGACCTAGGGCGAATTTATGTCACTTGCCACCGAGGAGCAAACACTAGTAGAGCAGGACCAGCAAAATGCTGGGAATGAGGCTGGGAAAGGCTCCAAAGAGCGGCTTTGGCTCACTCACCATTGCTGCTTTTTCTTCTTCCACCTCACGAAGCCCCACACTAGAAGTATGCAGATCCCTTGGGAAGCAAATAAGCAAACAGCAAATCTGGTAAGTAATTCATTGAAACACAGCAGTTTGATAAAAGACCAATGGGAAAATTCACTGCTCTGCAGGCCAGCACCACAACGAGGTTTGACGAGGTTTCCCAGAATAAGGCAAAAGCCCCCCTGCATCCCTGGGCAGAGACCACAGGAAATCACTATTGAAGGGTATTTTTCATGCTGATGTTCTTAACTGTGTGATTCTCACTTATTTAATGCTTTTATAGGCAGCCTTTGTATTTTAACATACTCTTTTTTCGTATTCACGCTTTCCTGCAACAAGGATGCCCAGGCTTCGCTAAGCTCTCCTCTTTCAAAACCTGCCAAGCCCTTTTAAAGGAACGTTCTTAATCAGAGTGGCAGGATGCACGATATTAGCTGTGGCTTGTTTCATTTCTTCCTCAAGTGCTGTAATGTTTTCTACTAAGACATATGTCATTGCTTACAGTGCTATTCCATTAGCTAATAGAGAAACACACAAACCCTAACTGGAGATAAAAGTTTAAAACAAGGAGTTTTAAAACGAAGCAAACGCAATAGCGACCCCAGATATTAAACTACAACAACAGCTTTGGCTTAGGAAAGTATAGTCTCAAATTTAAACGACTTACCAATGCAACTAGGGGCAAGGATAAATGCTGGAGAAGAAAATGAAGAAAATATGATTAAAATAACAGAGCCAAATCTGATACTTCTGAGAAGATAAAGCATTGCTAATCAGTCTGCCATTAATTACTAACATCTGGCTGTGCTCTTCCCGCTCCCCCTTTCCCCACCAGCAGAGCTGAGGTCGACAGCTCCAAACTCCGGAGCCGCAGGTGCCCAGCGAGGTGGAATTGGAGCAGCCAACACGACCCGAGGCCGAAAGCGTTTCCTGAACCCTCACCTAAGACAGGACGATTCTCTGCTGTTTCATCTTCCAAGGGTTTAGGTGGGTCTGTCACTGCCATGGTCTCAACTACGGCGAAAAAAGCTAAAAGAAAGAGCAGTTAAATATATATATAATTCACCGTGTCTCTATAAGGTATGCAATGCTCCACTGAGGAGTAAATGCAGGGGTAACGGTCTGATCTGTGGTAGTGGTGGCCTGTGGATCTGGACCTGCTCCAGCAGCCCATGCTGCTGGGCAAGGAGGGCTTGTGACTGCTCCCAGGATGGGCCAAGGACGTTGTCCCAAAGAACTCGTCCTCTGCTCACCCGGGAAAAGGTCCATGTTTCCAAAGGACAAAGCTATGGACTGGAAGCTGGATGGCTGCCAAGTGTCCCAGAGAAACTCCTAAGATCTAGGGACTGCTCTGGCTACACAATCCCTTTGCAAAGAACCCAGACTTTAATCTAAGGACTCTGATTTACGTGAGAGGCAAGAAGGAACCTCTTGGTGGCACTCAAATCTTAAAGGTAGGCAGATGTCTATAGTTACCCCCTAGCTGTTGCTGGATGCTAGCTATAAAACCATCCTGAGCTTTAGCTCACCATCTTTCAGACAGAGACACCTTTCAAATATTCTTTTAAATAAAATATTATCTGTTCCCCTTGCAGGGAAAAATACAAAATTGTGCACAATTGTACACAGGTTGTTCTTCAAAAGAACTTGGCATGTTGTCTTCCCTCCAAGCCCAAGGCTTTCTAAATAAGTTTTGTTGTAAGCAGATGACCTTGGAAACAATCCCACTCACCTCTGCAGGCAGGAGGAGGGCCGGCCTGACAAGAAAAACTGCAACAGGAGGAAGCCGCAGGAGCAGTGCTCACCTCTGCAGGCAGGAGGAGGGCCGCTCCACACCCCGTGCTCCTTGTTTGCAGCCGTGCAGCGAAGAGCTTCATCCCCAACGAGGTGCAGGCCGGGGTCACACGTGTAAGTCACGACGGAGCCGTACGCGAACTCCCGCAAGCTGCTGCCGTTGTGCGTCGCGTTGGGGACGGCCGGAGGGGGAGCACAGGCAATGGCTGAAAGGAAGGAGAGGAAGGAGCTCGTTGGACCCCACCAGGAGGATATTCCCCGGCCTTGGAAGTGGCAACACGGGAGCATTGGCGGCGGGGGCTCCTGTTGCTGCTGTGTCCAGGAAGCTGGAGGTGAAACCTGAGCACTGGCCACACTCCCTGCACATGGTTATTTTTAAGGGTCTCTGCTGCAACACGTGGGACGGTGGCAGGAGACGGCCAGCAGGGACAGCAGGGCCACCGGGCTGCTGCTTTATTCCAGGCTTGCCCATTGCAAAGGCCCTGGCAACCCTACTGACTAATCCTTATTTTCATCACCTCAGCTGCCTCCTTTCCCCTACTGCTTACCTCTCCTAATTAATTAGAATCAGTGTACAATCGAGTCATCCTCAGTTACGGACGTAACGTTTGCAGGCAGCCCGACTCACCCTGGCACGCGGGGACTCTGCTCCAGGCGACGCCGCTCCCGCTGAGCAGGCAGTGCACGAGCGGCGAGCGCGCGGCCACGCGGTACCTGCGGGCAGAGACACGGCCAAATCACCCCGCGAGACGACACCGGGGTCCCGTGTCCCCGTGTCTGCTCCAGTGACACGGCCAGGCCACCCGGGCACGCACCTCTTGGTGCTTTCGCGTGTGTGAGCGCAGGAAATCTGTGGAAAACCTGTTTGTTTAAAGCAAATATCCCCTTCCTCTTCCATGAGGTCTCAGGACGAATTTTGTTATACTAACCTCCCACACGTTAAAACAAACTTGGGCCAGATGTTTGCGTTAAACTTTTGTAGGGACAAATTTTGCAGCATTTTCTGTTCCTCTGAAGAGCAGAAACTGCCTTCCCAACTGATGGGAACCGACTCGAGGTGTAGCAAGAACAACAGGACGAGAGCTTCAACCTGCGCCATCCCAATACTTCCAATGCAGCCCTTCCCTCCGGCCGCTCCGGACGCCTGGTGTGTGTTTGGTTCCCCAGGGAGGTTTATTTGCCTGTTTTTAAGGTGCCAACACGAGCAGTTGCCTTCGTACTCACCCATCATCACAAACCACGTTTGCTCTTGCACCGAACAGGTGATCGGTTGTAACCACTTTGCCATGCTCTGGATTTGCTGGAACGCCACAAGATTTCTCTAAAAAGAGTAAGATCAGCCTTAGGGCAACATTACAAGGAAAGGGAAGACCAACAGAAATCCTTTGCATGAGATTTTAGCAATATCAAACCAGATATCTGATGACTTCAGAGCACATGATGTTTCATGATGATGATATTTTCATCATTCTAAAACATCCTAAAACACAAATACAAATCACAGGCCTGACGATTCAGCTGTGGATGGTCAGTGAAAAGTGACCCTAGACACTCACTTCGACACAACTCAGGAACTTCCGTCCACGTTACATTTTCAAGACAAGTGCTGGTGAGGAGCCTTTCGCTGGTTTTCTCGTAGCCTGCGCGGCAAAAGTACCTCACAGTGATCCCGACAGCGTAAAAATTCTTGGTTTCATCCTCTTCGACCAGTTTAGCGAAGGTTAGACGTGTTGGGCTAGAACAGCTCCCTGGTGACAATAAAGACAACCAAAATGCACACTTGTGAGGCAAAGATTACTGTGTGCTGCACTCTAGGTACATGTAAAGGTACTTGGTAGTGCACACCCAACAGCAAAGCAGCCCAAATAAAGGGTTTCACATCAAAATCAAAATACTTGCAGCCTAGGAGCATTCGCTGGGCTGATAAAGGCTGTTATTTACACTTTCATCCCAGCAAAACTAAGCATGGGGGGGATGCAGAACAGCTCAAAACGCAGCAAATGGTCAAGAGCACTGAAGCAGCACGTCTTTGCAGCCCGACTCGTCCCAGAGGAGCGTCCCGGAGTACTTACGGTCGCAGAACTCGCGGAGCGGGGACCACTGGTCCGTGGGGAGGCACTCGGTGGTGTCGGGCATCCCGGGCAGCTTGGTGAGGCCCTGCAGGCAGCTGTACGTGACTT